GAGGCACCGTCACCGGTCCCGCGTATTTCGGACGCCAGCCGCGGGCTACCATCGTCCCTCGGACATCGTCGCCTGCCCGTCGCTCTAGCAGGTCCCGCCCGACAAACACGACCACCCGGACAGCCGCGCGTCTGCTGGGGCCATCCGCAACGCCGGCATCGGCGTTTTCGTCGACTGCTCCTGCGCCACCGGTGTCTTCGCCGTCAGCGGCGCGCCCTGCATCCCCAATTTCGCCTTTTCTTACGGGTTTCCCCCGGAACTTCGCCCCTCACGATGTCCCCTTCGCGGACATCACCACGGACTGCGGCTGCCCCAGTCGCTGAGGCTTCGCCTTCTTCAGCCTCTTCCGTTGGACCGCCTGATTTTTTTTCGGAATCTTCTGATTTGGACACCTCCCACTTGCGGGCTTGTGTTCAGAGTTTCAGCACTGTGGACTGGGCTAGGGAACAACAGAGGGAGAGCGAGTGTGTGGTGGCTATGCGTTTTTTGTCTCGCGGTTCTCCCTCCCCACCCCCTCCGGACTTGCTCACTTTCTGTGCTCCTCTTCGCTCCCCTCGGCTAGATGATGTGCTTGTGTNACGTTGGATCGCCTGACTTTCTTTTGGAATCTTCTGATTTGGACACCTCCACTTGCGGGCTTGTGTTCAGAGTTTCAGCACTGTGGACTGGGCTAGGGAACAACAGCGGGAGAGCGAGTGTGAGGTGGCTATGCGTTTTGTGTCTTGCGGTTCTCCCTCCCCACCCNGTTGGATCGCCTGACTTTCTTTTGGAATCTTCTGATTTGGACACCTCCACTTGCGGGCTTGTGTTCAGAGTTTCAGCACTGTGGACTGGGCTAGGGAACAACAGCGGGAGAGCGAGTGTTTGGTGGCTATGCGGTTTTTGTCTCGCGGTTCTCCCTCCCTACCCCCTCCGGACTTGCTCACTTTCCGTGCTCCTCTTCGTTCCCCTCGATTAGATGATGTGCTTGTGTTGGCGGCGAAAGCCAAACTGCACACGACCGACGACAACGTCACCCTCCTCGTACATAAACCGGCGCCGTCGCCGATTGGG